TATATATATATATATATATATATATATATATATATATATATATATATATATATATACACACACACATATACACACACACACTGGGGCGGACTGACCATTTGGAAACTCGGGCACTGCCCGAGGGCCTGGGGTCAGTAGGGGGCCCCATGAGATGCCCCTGGTACCTTTTTCATAGGCTTTTTTGAGTTTGGGCAAGGACACAGGGGCCCCATGAGTTATCAGTCTGCCCCTGCAAACATACACATCTATAAAACACACACACACACACACATACATATATATATATATATATATATATATATCATATATACAATTGCGACAGAAGTCATATTGTAATTGAATGTTAATAAAAATGTCATTTCCTGCTTGTGTGATTGGCTCACTGATTTCCCCAGAAGTCTGCACTAAGATACGAGTCAGATTTTGGGCATTTCCTGCAACAAAAATTTTTGGTGAGATACTCCCAATAGGAAATCACGTCCAGAGGGATGCAGACCCTGCCACTTTCCTCAGAGCCCTGCAGGTGCAGTAGCTGATTGGGAATTATGAAACCACTCCCATTCAGATTCACTCTGCCATGGACACAGACAAACAAAACAGCTCTTCAGAATCTGCAACAATGCTTATTCAAACCCTTGCAATGTAAATTGATCACCCAGAGGGGGATGTTTTTTCTCAACAAAAGTGGAGTTACTCTTTAAAAATGAAAAAAATTGCAACCCCGTTGCCTTGCACACATCCGCAAGTGCTAAAATGCAGGGTATCTAAACAGCAACTGCGCCACATGTGAGATATCACGGAGAACAATAATTCTAGGGCCGTAATTTGCGGTTAAAGATCCAGGTAAAAATCGGTATTTTCCCATGCAGGTGGTGCTTTCCCAGCACTGCATGGGTTCAATGCTCTTTTTTGTCTAGGGGCTCGGAACGCAAAGATATACTTACCTAATCCGCTGATCCTCCAAGCATAGGGCCGGTCACCAATGCTCCAGGCCCCTTCATGTGCTAGAGGTCTTGTGAATGGACTGTTCCTGACCTCATCTCGCCTATAGAATGACTACAGAGGTGAGGAACAGTCCACTGCTGGACATGGGGGAGCACTGTTTTCCGGAGGATCGGAGGATGGGGCAAGTAAAGCTTTTCCCTGAGCCCCTGGACAAAACAAGCAGTTAACCCGTACAGTGCGTGCACAGCTCCACTGCATCCCGGAATAAAAGTTTGCTTTAAATGATAACTTGTATAGGATTTTAAGGGCTTGTTCACACTTGAATAAATTTCTAACTCCTTCAAAACGCCCCTATAGCATTAGACAGGCATTTAGTAAGCTTTAGTATGGGCGTTGTGCAAGCGTTAAAAATGCTCCCCTATGCGCGGTTTTGAGGCTTTTACAAGCATTAAAAAACCCACTAAAAACACCTATAATAAACTCTAATGGTATTAAGGCCCCGCAAATGCCTGCCAGGCATTTGAAGAGCGTCACCATAGACTTGAATGGGAGGCGTTGAAAGGCTTCAACTCCTCCTGACTCAACATGAGGCTTCAGTTTTGCTGTGACGCTAATGCTTCCCCACATGGAAGAAAAATATATTTTGAAATATATTTCAAAAATATTTTTCCCAAATATATTGACATATAATTGAAATACTACAATTTTGGTCATATTCGATACATTTAAAAAAAAATATATATATATATATATATATATACATATACACACACATACACTGCATGTTGAAATGCATTTTTATATATATTACAAAATATATGAAAAATATTTTTTTAAATATATTTTTTTTTACATATATTCTTCAGGTTTTTTACATAGAAAAAAGTAATTTTTACATATATTTGTAAATGCATTTAAAAAAATTTAAAATTTGTATTTTTAAAAGACATACAGTATACTTGAAAATGTATTTTTAAAAATATTTTTCATATATTTTGTAATAAAAGCGCATATCAATAATCATTCTCTCTATATCAATATATATATATTGGCCAAAATTGTAGTATTTCAAATATATATTTTTCTTCCATATGGGGATGTTTTGCAAATGTCACCAGAACTGTGTGCTGCCCATAGTGTCATTTCCATTGGTGTTTGAGGAGCATTAAAAACGCCCCTTAAACGCCTGCTTTCAAAGCTAGCGTGAACTGAGACTAAAGCTTCACCTATGGAAAATTTTGGTCATCATAGATTTTCACGATATAGCAGACACTTGCAATCCTAAGTGTTGACATGTTTGGTATCTCTTTACTCGATGCAACCCAACCTTATATATTTTACCAACAAATTGGGTATTACATTTTCTTTGCACTAAAATTCAGTTTACTGTGTATTTTTTTCCTAAAAATATGCATTTGATAAACAACTTCTCAAATATCTGGGCAGCACAGTGGCTAAATGGTTAGCATTTCCACCTGGCAGTACTAGGGTTGTTGGTTCAAATCCTACCCACAGCACCACCTGCCTGGAGTTTGAATGTTCTCCCTGTGCCTGCGTGGGTTTCCTACGGGTACTCCGGTTTCCTCCCACACTCCAAAGACATGCTGGTAGGTGAATTGGCCTGTCTCAATTGTCCCTAGTATGTGTATGTATGAATGCGAGTTAGGGACCTTAGATTGTACGCCCCTTGAGAGTTAGGGACTGATGTGAATGTACAATATATATGTAAAGCACTGCGTAGATTGACAGGGACAAGGGGCGGACTGACCATTTGGAAACACGGGCACTGCCCGAGGGCCCGGGGTCAGTAGGGGGCCCCATGAGATGCCCCTGGTACCTTTTTCATTGGCTTTTTTGAGTTTGGGCAAGGACACAGATGATCCCCTATTGCCTGGGGGCCCCATGATCCCCTATTGCCCGGGGGCCCCATGAGTTGTCAGTCCGCCCCTGATGGCGACATATAAGTACCTGAAATAAATTAATAAATATCTGGCAACATAAAAAATTGCAACAACCATCTTTTTATTCTACAAGGCCTCGACTTCACCGTTTTTAGGGGGAGATTTTATGGCTAAAAATGCAGATGGTTTTTTAACATTTAGGCCGCACACACATGGGGCGTTTTTACAACCACTTTTAGGGGCGTCAGGCTTTTCGAAACGGCCCTCCATGTTATCCTGCATGTTTGTGCACACGTACATTTTTAGAAGCTTTTAGCGGTACCATTTACAAGCAGGAAGAAAAAAACCTCAGGGCCAGTGCTTTAAGGAGCAGCGTTTTGGCAGAAAAAACGCTTGATGTGTGTAAAACTGTCTAAAAGCGTGTTAAGCGCTTCAGCATTAATTCATATAAATGGCCAGAATAAATGATTATTTTGCCCAATGAAATAAATTAATGCCCAAGCGCTTGAAGCTTGTAAACGCACCTAAATGCTGGTAAAAGCGTTAGACATCTTGACAAGCGTCAGGCTTTTTTTTTTTCTGCCAAAACGCTGCTGCCAAGAGGAAGAGAGTTTTTAAACATCCTGTTTGCACGAGGATTGATTATTTTTAAACATGCAGATTTTTACATTTGTGTGAAAAATTAAAAAAAAAAAAAAAGCTGTGAAAGGGAACTGGTTAAATACGGGTGCAAATGTAGGCGGGTGTAATATATAAACAGGGACGGATCATTCTTTCTTTGGACAGGGTGGTAAGCCTCAGCAAAATAAGTAGCCATGGCTCTGCACACTCCCAACTGTAACAAGAACTCCTATACCCAAAAAAAAAGTAAAAGCGTTCACCCTTGAAAATAAATGTACATAATAACTAAACTCTTCTTTGTGACAAATAAATCAATCCCAATCTTATCCTATATACAAAATAACTAAATAAATAAAAAAAAAAAAAAGTCCCATAAAATGTCCCATAAAATGTCTTTTCCACCTTCCAAAATTTGGAAACGTTACGTTGGATTATCAACCAATTCAATACTGGGCACTTTTACCCCCTTCCTGCCCAGGCCAGTTTTCAGGTTTCAGCACTCTCACACTTTGAATGACAATTGCGCGGTCATACAACATTGTACCCAAACTAAAATGTTATCATTTTCTTCACACAACTAGAGCTTTCTTTTGGTGGTATTTAATCACCGCCGGGGTTTTTATTTTTTGCTAAACAAAAAAGACCAAAAATTTTGAGAAAAAAAAAACATGTTCTTTGTTTCTGTTATAAAAGTTTACAAATAAATAATTGTTCTTCATAAATTTAGGCCGAGATGTATTCTGCTACATGTCTTTGGTGAAAATAACCCAAATTAGGATGTATTATTTAGTTTGTAGGAAAGTTATAGAGTTCACAAACTATGGTATAGATCTGAATATTGATCAATCCTGAAGTACTGACGGCCAATCTAATTTCTTGAGGTCCAAGAATGTCAGAACAGTACAGATATCCCCCAAATGTCAGGACAGTACAGATATCCCCCAAATGTCAGGACAGTACAGATATCCCCCAAATGTCAGGACAGTACAGATATCCCCCAAATGTCAGGACAGTACAGATATCCCCCAAATGTCAGAACAGTACAGATATCCCCAAAATGACCCCTTTTTGCAGAGTAGACAGTCCGACGTACTTCATAAAAGGCATGGCGAGTTTTTTGAAGTCGTATTTTTTTTGTCATAATTTTTCGGAAAATTAAAAAATAAAAATAATTATTTTCACTATTTTTTTTTTTTTTTTACATACTGTCACCAGTGCAGTACAGCATCTTCATATAACTGGCATGGCGGTAATCAGGGACACTGACTGGTGACAGTGTGAAAAAAAAAATAAAATATATATATATATATATTTTATTATTTTACATTTTTTATTAAATTTTTTTCTTTTTTTTAAGATTTTTTTTTCATATTTCACTATGTCCAAAGTAGTACAATGTTACCATAGTAACCTTGTACTACTTTGGGGAAGTGATCAGTATTTTTTTGTTTTTTTTTTTTACACAATTTGCTTATAGCAAAGAATTACTTTGCTATAAGCAAGCATTTACCTGAATGACATCGATTCATTCAGGGTTTTTTTTTTTTGTGCTTAGCTGTGATTTGGCCACAGCTAATCACATGACATGTGCATGTGATTAGCTGTAACCATTCACAGCTAGGCAATAGTATACAATGGATGGCATGAATGAAGCCATCCATTGTATACAACTGTCATGTGACCTGCTGTGATAGGTCACAGCAGGGGTGGACTGACAACTCATGGGGCCCCCAGGCAATAGGGGATCATGGGGCCCCTGTGTCCTTGCCCAAACTCAAAAAAAACCTATGAAAAAGGTACCAGGGGCATCTCAAGGGGCCCCCCTACTGACCCCAGGCCCTCGGGCAGTGCCCGAGTTTCCAAATGGTTAGTCTGCCCCTGGGTCACAGCAGGTCACATGGTACCAGCAACGGGGCAGATACTCAGATCTGTCATCGGCTGTGTCCGAGGTACACGGCCGGTGACAGATCGCGCCGCTGCGCGGCTCTGCAGGAGCGCGATCTGCGCATGTGCGGGAGGAAAGGTAATGCACTTTTGCGGACGCCATTTGGCCATAGGCCAGGCGTCAAATGGTTATAGAGTGACATGATGTGATTTGGAGGTGGAAAAGACATTTTTGGACATTTATTTTATGGGACATTTTATTTATATTTTTTTTATTTAATTATTTTGTATATAGGATAATATTGGGATAGATTTGTCACAAAGAAGAATTTAGTTATGTATTAAGCCTCAGCAAACCCCAAAAGATGTGACAATGTGAAGGGTTCCGTTTACACCGCTGTGTCGCGGGAATGCGTTGCTGCATTGCAACACGTGTAACATGCACTGCTCCATTGCAATGCCATTTTAAAGGCAGCGCATCTATGCTGTGTTACAAAACAAGGGTCAGGGGCGGACTGACAACTCATGGGGCCCCCGGGAAATAGGGGATCATGGGGCCCCTGTGTGCTTGCCCAAACTCATAAAAGCTTTCAAAAAAGGTACCAGGGGCATCTCATGGGGCCCCCTACTGACCCCGGGCCCTCTGGCAGTGCCCGAGTTTCCAAATGGTCAGTCCGCCCCTGATTATAGGCGTTTGTGGTGTGGTTTTAACGCTTGGAAAAACGCTCATCAAACTCCAAAAAAATTTGGGGAGGGTTTGAGGAGCGTTAAAAATGCTTCCCTAACGCCTGTCAAACGCGTACAATATATATGTAAAGCCTAGTCAAGTGTGAATGAGCCCTTAAAGTGGTTGTAAACCTCAGGCATGAAATATGAGCAATGCATATCCCTCTATAGTATGTCCTTGTCTCAATCCAGACCACTAAGTGTCATTTCTGTCAAGCTTTCCTGACACCAAGAGAAAAAAAAGGTGACAGGGGAAGAAGCTCCAGTGCACAGCCTGTGAGTAACAGCCTCAGCTGCTCCGGAGTGCTGTGTGAAGGGAAAGGGGGGGGGATATGTCTCTTTCCTCCAATCAGCTCTCAAAGCTCTCCTCACTGAGCTCTGCAGGGTGTAACTTCAGCTCCCCGCCCCCCCCCCCCCCCTGCTTTCTGACAGCTCAGACAAGCTGTATAAATTCTGCACTTTGAACAGATGTAGAGAAAACTGCAGATAAACCGGTACAACTTATGCAGGAGGATTTGTTTCATTTCTGTGAATCGCCTTAACGTAACCACAAAAATATATAAAGGAAAAGTCTTGGCTGTTGAATTGTGAGCATCCTTGTTAGATCTCGAACACTTTGTAGCTTTACTAAAGTGCATTTCTAGCCAAAAATAGAAAACTTTTTTTTTTTCTTAGTCTGTGACTCCATTCTGCAGATTTTTCCTTATCCCTGCCCTAGTGACAACAATTGTTACCAGGACAGGAAGTGGGGAGATCTCTCCAACAGGATACATTGACAAAAAAAATACTTCTTTATTTGTAGATTGTGGAAGACTACCATTAGCTTTTTTTTTTTTTATTGCCATCTGTGTCCCCAATAGAGGTTTTCCTTGGCTTCCTGTCACAGTGATGTCATTCCCATGGCGAGAAATCTCTCTAGCAAGGACACCGTGGGGGAGATTTTACACCAGCCAGTTCACACTAGATGCGTTTCAATTGCTTTTTTTATGCATCCAAAACGCACAGAAATCAGACTATATGGTTGTCAATGGCATAGATCACATCAGTGCTTGCAGTTCCAGTGCGTTCCGGTAGCAGGAAAAAAAAAAAAAAAAAAAAAAAAAGTAGAACAGGCTGCATTTGTTTCTGCACAGAACTGTACTGGAACGCGGTAAAAACACCAAAAACACGCTGGAATGCACATGTCCCTATTTAAATTGAAGAAAAAGAGGGGGGTGATGAACTGAAACGCATAAAAAATGCACCATAACGTCAAAAATGCATTAATAACGCACCAGAACACATCAAAAATGTATAAAAAAAACGCACCGTAACATCAAAAATGCATAAAAACGCACCACAAAGTCAAAAATGCATAAAAATGCGCCGCAAAGTCAAAAAGGCATAAATAATGCACCAGAACACATCAAAAATGCATAAAAAACGCACAGCACATCAAAAATGCACTGGAATGCACAATTCCCTATTTCAATTGAAGAAAGAGAGAGAGGGGGGAAACAGGAAACGCGTCAAATATGCGACAGAACGTGTCAAAAACGCGCATGTGGAAACATCTGGAATGCATCTAGACTGCGTTTCTATAGTGTGAACAGTGCAGGGTCCGGGGAGACCAGATATAGTGAATGCAGCATCCGGGGAGAGTGGATATAGTGAATGCAGCATCCGGGGAGAGTGGATATAGTGAATGCGGGGTCCGGGGAGAGTGGATATAGTGAATGCGGGGTCCGGGGAGACCGGATATAGTGAATGCGGGGTCCGGGAGAGCGGATATAGTGAATGCGGGGTCCGGGGAGAGAGCGGATAAAGTGAATGCGGGGTCCGGGGGAGAGCGGATACAGTGAATGCGGGGTCCGGGGAGAGCGGATACAGTGAATGCGGGGTCCGGGGAGAGAGCGGATACAGTGAATGCGGGGTCCGGGGAGACCGGATACAGTGAATGCGGGGGTCCGGGGAGACCGGATATAGTGAATGCGGGGTCCGGGGAGACCGGATATAGTGAATGCGGGGTCCCGGGGAGACCGCGGATATAGTGAATGCGGGGTCCGGGGAGAGCGGATATAGTGAATGCGGGGTCCGGGGAGAGCGGATATAGTGAATGCGGGGTCCGGGGAGAGCGGATATAGTGAATGCGGGGTCCGGGGAGACCGGATATAGTGAATGCGGGGTCCGGGGAGAGCGGATATAGTGAATGCGGGGTCCGGGGAGAGCGGATATAGTGAATGCGGGGTCCGGGGAGAGAGCGGATATAGTGAATGCGGGGTCCGGGGAGAGCGGATATAGTGAATGCGGGGTCCGGGGAGAGCGGATATATAGTGAATGCGGGGTCCTGGGAGACCGGATATAGTGAATGCGGGGTCCTGGGAGACCGGATATAGTGAATGCGGGGTCCTGGGAGACCGGATATAGTGAATGCGGGGTCCTGGGAGACCGGATATAGTGAATGCGGGGTCCTGGGAGACCGGATATAGTGAATGCGGGGTCCTGGGAGACCAGATATAGTGAATGCGGGGTCTGGGAGACCAGATATAGTGAATGCGGGGTCCTGGGAGACCAGATATAGTGAATGCGGGGTCCGGGGAGACCAGATATAGTGAATGCAGGGTCCTGGGAGACCAGATATAGTGAATGCAGGGTCCGGGGAGACCAGATATAGTGAATGCAGGGTCCTGGGAGACCAGATATAGTGAATGCAGGGTCCAGGGGGAGCAGATATAGTGAATGCAGGGTCCGGGGTTTATTAACACTTTAATTTTTGACAATAAAACCTGGAAGCCGATTGGTTTCTCTGCAGATTTGCACCAGTTTTTGTAAATCTCCCCCAATGGTCATTTAAAATACTTCATATTCTCAGAATGAAGGAGGCTGCAAAAGTCTGTGTCCCCATTGGAATTTACCACCAGCATTATGCTGCATTGACAATGTTGTCACTAGTGGTGGACTGACAACTCATGGGGCCCCTGTGTCCTCACCCACAGTCAAACCACACCCAGAAAAGCCTATAACAGGTACCAGGGGCATCTCATGGGGCCCCCTACTGACCCCGGGCCTTTCGGCAGTGCCCGAGTGGCTAAATGGTCAGTCCGCCCCTGGTTGTCACCAGGACAGGAAGTGAGGGTAAATCTCCCCAAAGGAACATAGAGAGCTGAACAAAAAAAAGGGAAAAACTACCTGACAGAGGTTCTAACTGTTTCCTGTTCTGTCCAAAACCAACATAAAAATCATTTCAATTGCAATTTAAAGCTGGCCTCGGTCTTCCCTTCGGTCTTGCATCGGCTCCTCTCCTGGACGGAAATGGCTTATTCTGATTTCATTGCACACTGTGAGCTAGAATCTACAGCAAGTCAAACAGAGCCTGCCTCATTTCCTGCATGGAGGACGCCCAGCATCATCTAGATCAGCAATGGGCAAACTACGGCCCGCGGGCCGTATACGGCCCGGCGGACCTTTTAATCCGGCCCGCGGAGCTAGGCTCCTCTCACAGTCCGCCCTGAAGACCGGTGTAGCATGAAAATCTGTCTCCTATGAGGATCTGTCCCCCTCGACGTATCTGCGCATGTGCCGGAGATCGCCGATCGGCTGCTAATGCCTGAAACTGGCACATGCGCAGATACGTCGAGGGGGACAGATCCTCATAGGAGACAGATTTTCATGCTACACCGGAACGGCGCGGGAACACGGCGAGAAGAACGCGCGGAGCAAAGGTAAGTGAATTGACACAGGGGAGACTTGGAGACTTAATAGGGGGGATGAATTACTATAGGGGGGATGAATTACTATGGGGGATGAATTACTATAGGGGGGATGAATTACTATAGGGGGGATGATGAATTACTATAGGGGGGATGAATTACTATGGGGGATGAATTACTATATGGGGGATGAATTACTATATGGGGGATGAATTACTATGGGGGATGAATTACTATGGGGGGATGAATTACTATATGGGGGATGAATTACTATGGGGGATGAATTACTATATGGGGGATGAATTACTATGGGGGATGAATTACTATGGGGGATGAATTACTATATGGGGGATGAATTACTATATGGGGGATGAATTACTATATGGGGGATGAATTACTATATGGGGGATGAATTACTATGGGGGATGAATTACTATGGGGGATGAATTACTATGGGGGATGAATTACTATGGGGGATGAATTACTATATGGGGGATGAATTACTATATGGGGGATGAATTACTATATGGGGGATTTAATTACTATTAATTACTATGCTTACTATGGGGGAATATTACTATACTTACTATGGATGACACATACACATCATTCATCTACTCTTGGTCCAGCCCCCGGGTCCAATATATGAACCCATTGCGGCCCTCAAGTCAAAAAGTTTGCCCACCCCTGATCTAGATCTTTCCTCCCCAGACTACTGTCCCTGGCCCATCCATTTCATTTCTAGAATTTCAGATCTTTCAGTCATGAAGGCTTTACATGTGGGCGTTACCTAAAATGGTCTTCAGCAAAAGCTGCCTGCCTAAGAACGCCCACTCCTCCAGACCAATCCCACCCATCAGAGCATTTTGATATTTTCATAATCCTCCCACTGCCTGCCTCAGGGCTCTTGAGGCAGAGTGCTGTGATGCCTGCCGGCCCCTCCCACCAACCACGATCTGCCTGCATTCCATAGAGCAGCACAGAGAGCCAGTGATGACATCACTGTATCTAAAAAAAATGTAAAAAAAAAAAAAAAAAAAGTTTTATTTCAAAATTTCATCAGCACATCGATGAGAAATGAAAGGAGCGCTAAAATAAAAGCAAATTAAAAAATGAAGAATTAAATAATAATTAAAATTCAAGATAGTAAGCATACCCAGTATAGGACTGCGGTGACGGCAGACGTCAAGGCTTTGGTGCACTGCATCGGCTTTGGTGCACTGCATCAGCAGCGGGGTGTCCCTGGAAATTATTTTAAAGTGCCGGCCATTATATCAGAGCAGACGACTCTCGCTCCGACACTCAGCTGCGAAGAAACGGTGCAAAAGTTACATCTGACAGAGCGAATCATCTGAAGGAGCACAAGGAAGCCTCGGAGGGAGAATTGGAGGTTAACTCGTTCAGCACCTGAGGAGCCGGGATTACGTCCGCCCAAGTACCGGCGTGCATTGTTAAGCTATGATTAGCAATCCTCCTCCCGTCCTGAGACCACACGCCCTGTTCCTGTGCTCGGCGTGTTGTTGACATGTTTGGACTCTTTCTATAGCCGGATAGGAGAGGACGGCTGAATGACATCTGCATTCATTAGAGTCAGCACAGCATAAAGCTCGGCTTCTGACTTTACAAAGAGATGATTGCAAGTAATACAGCAACATGAATACAGCTGAACATCGAACAAAGAAAAAATATACAGGAGGCAGATGTGTATCTGCCTAAGGATTTGTATTTCTGTCCATCCAGTCCTGAGAACTGCACAGCTCTGCCACACAGCACAACCCTGTCTGGCAAGGAAGGGGAACTGATCATTCTCTGCCGCAGGTTTAACTTTCACTTGCACATCCAGTGTTACCAACCTAGTAAAGTGAAATTTACTGACAGGGCGGCCAAAATTTACAAACAGCACCATTTTGTTTTACAAAAATAATAAAATTTACTGACAGACAGGGGCGGACTGACAACTCATGGGACCCCCGGGCAATAGGGGATCATGGGGCCCGTGTCCTTGCCAGGGGCGGACTGACAACTCATGGGGCCCCCGGGCAATAGGGGATCATGGGGCCCGTGTCCTTGCCAGGGGCGGACTGACAACTCATGGGGCCCCGGGCAATAGGGTATCATGGGGCCCGCGTCCTTGCCAGGGGCGGACTGACAACTCATGGGGCCCCCGGGCAATAGGGGATCATGGGGCCCCTGTGTCCTTGCCCAAACTCAAAAAAGCCTATCAAAAGGGTACCAGGGGCATCTCATGGGGCCCCCTACTGACCCCGGGCCCTCGGGCAGTGCCCGAGTTTCCAAATGGTCAGTCCGCCCCTGGTCCTTGCCCAAACTCAAAAAAGCCTATGAAAAAGGTACCAGGGGCATCTCATGGGGCCCCCTACTGACCCCGGGGCCCTCAGGCAGTGCCCGAGTTTCCAAATGGTCAGTCCGCCCCCTGCTGACAGAGCCACTTTTTTTTTTACTGACACTTCTAAAAAGTACATAAAATGTCTGTTTTCAGCGTAAAACAAATGCAAATATCAATATGTATCTACAAACATGTAGCTAGTGCCATTATGTGTTTAAGGTATAACAAAAGGCAAACATATTTTTCCATGAAGGTCAGGGTAATATAACCAAAAACAGGGTTCTCCTTTACAGTGTAAGGGGGAACTCTGCGGACCCGGATGTAAAGGAGAACTCTGAGGACTCTGATGTAAAAGGGAACATCATGGACCCTAATGTAAAGGAGAACTCTGTGGACCCTGATGTAAAAGGGAACATCGTGGACCCTGATGTAAAGGAGAACTCTGAGGACTCTGATGTAAGGGGGGCTGCTGCAGTTTCTGGTGTAAAGGGAAACTCTGATGTAAAGGGGTCTCTGGTCTTACACAAGAGTCCACAGAGCTCCCCATTACATCATAGTCCACAGAGACTGCATACATAGCACAAGGGATGATCAGAGACTGCGGACATGCGGATGATCATGGCACAAGGGATGATCAGAGACTGCGGACATGGCACAAGGGATGATCAGAGACTGCGGACATGGCACACAGGGATGATCAGAGACTGCGGACATGGCACAAGGGATGATCAGAGACTGCGGGAATCACTCAGAGACTGCTGGACATGGCACATGATCAGAGACTGCGGAACATGCACAAGGGATGATCTGGGAGATGATCAGAGACTGCGGACATGGCACAAGGGATGATCAGAGACTGCGGACATGGCACAAGGGATGATCAGAGACTGCGGACATGGCACAAGGGATGATCAGAGACTGCGGACATGGCACTGCGGACATGGGCACAAGGGATGATCAGAGACTGCGGACATGGCACAAGGGATGATCAGAGACTGCGGACATGGCACAAGGGATGATCAGAGACTGCGGACATGGCACAAGGGATGATCAGAGACTGCGGACAACAAGGGATGATCAGAGACTGCGGACGTGGCACAAGGGATGATCAGAGACTGCAGACATGGCACAAGGGATGATCAGAGACTGGCACATGGACAGAGACTGCGGACATACAACAGGGATGATCAGATCACATTGCAGACTCAGCTGACATGGCACAAGGGATGATCAGAGACTGCGGACATGGCAAAGGGATGATGGCACAAGGGATGATCAGAGACTGCAGGACATGGCACAAGGGATGATCAGAGACTGCGGGACATGGCACAAGGGATGATCAGAGACTGCGGACATGGCACAAGGGGATGATCAGAGACTGCGGACATGGCACAAGGGATGCTCAGAGACTGCGGACATGGCACAAGGGATGATCAGAGAGACCGAGGACACAAGGGATGATCAGGCACACGGCACAAGGGATGATCAGAGACCGAGGACACGGCACAAGGGGATGATCAGAGACCGAGGACACGGCACAAGGGATGATCAGAGACCGAGGACACGGCACAAGGGATGATCAGAGACCGAGGACACGGCACAAGGGATGATCAGAGACCGAGGACACGGCACAACGGCACAAGGGATGATCAGAGACCGAGGACACGGCACAAGGGATGATCAGAGACCGAGAGACACGGCACAAGGGATGATCAGAGAGACTGGCTGATCAGAGACGACACACGGCACAAGGGATGATCAGAGACTGCGGACATGGCACAAGAGGGATGCTCAGAGACTGCGGACATGGCACAAGGGAATGATCAGAGACTGCAGACATACTACAAGAGATGATCAGAGACTGCAGACATACTACAAGGAGGGATGATCAGAGACTGCTGACACGGCACAAGGGATGATCAGAGACTGCGGACATGGCACAAGAGATGCTCAGAGACTGCGGACATGGCACAAGGAATGATCAGAGACTGCAGACATACTACAAGAGATGATCAGAGACTGCAGACATACTACAAGAGATGATCAGAGACTACAGACATACTACAAGAGATGATCAGAGACTGCAGACATGGCACAAGATGATCAGAGACTGCACAGAGGTCAGGCAGACTTCAGACATAGGCAGACTGGCAGAGGATGGAGCAGCACCTCTCTTATGGCGGGTGAGAGAACTGGCAGCGCCACTGAATTCATTCCGATTCCATCCTCACTCTCATGCCGCGCTCTACCACGCCCCCTCCAGTTCAGCGAAGTTATTTGTAAGAGGCGCTGAGTGGTGCCATCACATCACTGAGTCCAGCCGGGCAGCTTCAGAACTGTAGCCGGCCTGAGGCCTTTTATTTCGGGTGGCCGCTATCCCTAATGGACATTTACGGCCGGCTTGTAAATTGCCTGAAATTTACACCTGCAAATTTACAGATGGTTGGCAGCCCTGTTTGCATGTCTCCTCTCTATTGGGGCTGAGCGTAGGCCTCATTCACAATGCCGCTTTTTTTCACATTTGTCACACAAAAGCATAGGGCAACCCATCCACATGACAAATTTGCTCTTGCACCTGTTTTGTGTGGTGATCCCTGCGCATCTGTCAGCCGCTGGTTGGGTTGCCAGTAAGAAACAAAGGAGCCACAAGCGCAGTAGCGCGGTTTTTGCTCGTTTCTGCATGCTGTCCTGGAATGCACAGGTTTGAATGGGGCCTTAAGTGTTGGGGCTGTTTTGTGCAGATGAAGGTGACGACTTCTGGCTGTCAATGGTTGCTAGGGAAGCAGCAGCTACTTCCACCCAATGTGTCCCTATTAGCCACAGACGCCATTTGTCACATTCATAGATGGGAATCCCCGACAACAAAAGCAAATGGGAGGGGGACAAAATGAGTTACATCATTGCTGAAATATTTCCCTACGGCCATGTTTGGGAAAGAATGTCACCACTATCCTGGCTGTCAATGGTTGCTAAGGAAGCTGCATCTACTTCCACCCGATGTATCCTTATTAGCCACAGACACCATTTGGCACATTCATGGATGAGAATCCCCGACAAGAAAAGAAAATGGGAGGGGGGGGGACAAAATGAGTTACATCATTGCTGAAATATTTCCCTACGGCTATGTTTGGGCAAGAATGTCACCACTATCCTGACTGTCAATGGTTGCTAGAGAAGCAGCGGCTACTTCCAACCGATGTGTCATTAGCCACAGACGTCATTTGGGGGGGGGGGGGGGGACAAAATGGGTCACATCATTGCTGAAATATTTCCACACGGCCATCTTTGGGCAAGAATGTCACCACTATCTTGGCTGTCAATGGTTCTAAGGAAGCAGCGGCTACTTCCACCCGATGTGTCTTTATTAGCCACCGACGTCATTTGGCACATTTATGGATGGGAATCCCCGACAACAAAAGTAAATGGGAGGGGACAGAATGAGTTACATCATTGCTGAAATATTTCCCCACGGCCATGTTTGGGCAAGAATGTCACCACTATCCTGGCTGTCAATGGTTGCTAGGGAAGCTGCAGCTGCTTGTGTCCGATCCATCCTTACCAACCACAGACGTCACCCGGCCCATTCACTTACATGGCTGGGAATCCCCAATGTACAGAGAATGGAGCCTTCCATCATTGCCTAAATATGGTCTCATGAGCACATTTGGGGATGATGTCACCATCCCCTGATGTATCCATTCCCCTTTCTTTATATATTTATTTATTTTAGGTACTTATATAGCGCCATCAATTTACAAAGCGCTTTACATATACATTGTACATTCACATCAGTCCCTAACCCTCAAGGGGCGTACAATCTAAGGTCCCTAACTCACATTCATACATACACATACTAGGGACAATTTAGACAGGAGGCAATTAACCTACCAGCATGTCTTTGGAGTGTGGGAGGAAACCGGAGTACCCAGAGGAAACCCACGCAGGCACAGGGAGAACTTGCAAACTCCAGGCAGGTGGTGCCATGGTTGGGATTCGAACCAACAACCCTAGTGCTGCCAGGCAGAAGTGCTAACCATTTAGCCACTGTGCTGCCCCATATAACCAATGACAGATCAGGGAGCTGTAATTCCATTAGTGTTACCGTCAGGGATTGGTCGTGTGCACAGGGTCGTCGTTTGCAAGGCAGCTGGCATTATAATTGATGAAGGATTTACAGTGAGGGACTATTTTTGAGATTTTTTTTTTTTCCTTTCATGTCAAATATTCAGGTGTCTTAATTTCTAGGTTACTTTTTCATTTGTGAATCAGTAGAGGTATGTACCCTATACGCATTCACGTAAAGGGGGGGGTTGCATCCGGGTGCCCCCTTATCGTTAGAAGGGGCACCCACTCACAGATCCCCACAACCACCGGGCCAGGGTTGTGGGGGATGTGGCCGCGGTGGAGGGGGGGGGGGTGGGGTGCATATGCCAGCAATTCAAATGAATTTTACCTTGTAAATGTCAGTGCTAAAAAAAAAAAAATTAAAAATAAAAATCACTGCTCTTGGATGCACAGGATTTAAAAACATTTTTTTGCTTTGGCACATAGTGCCCC